CCTCCTGTAAGGACCGCTCTAACTGTGTCTTGAGAAGTGTTTCACTGCGCATCGAGGACTGGATGGTGAAGAGTGAGAAGTTTCTATCTGGGGAACCTGGGCCATTCCATACAGTGCCCCTTAAACAGGCTAGGGCTAGGCTCAGTATACAACACGGTCAGTACAGATCGAGGCATTTACCCGTGGTCTGGTTTTTAAAAGAACTCAGTAAAGTTGGAAGGGACAGGGAAAGAGATGGAATTTACAGCTGCCTAACAGAGGCCCAGAGAGATCAGATAATATTGCTCTTGTTATTACTGTTATTACTAGCACTGTTTGAACCTTTATGGAGTGCTTCACCAGGCACCATGCTAGCAATCCCATTTAATCCTCACAACCACCACAGGAGACAGTTACTATGATGACCTCTATTGTGTACATGAAAACACATGGAGTATTTGAGGTTAAATGCTTGCCTAAGATCACTTAGGCAGAGCTGGGATTTGAACAGCCAGATCTATCCGATTCTCTAAGCCCATTTTCTTGCTGGGGGACACAGATAGGAAGGGGAAACTGAATCTCTTGTTCACTGTTTGAAAGGATGATACATTCGAATAGTCCAAAATTCAGAAGGTACAGAAGGGAAGTATCTCCCAGCCACCCTCTTGCTCTCTCCTGAGTTTTTTATGAACCTTGCAGTCTTATTTTATGTACATTTTCATAGTATGTACACACACACACACGCACACACACACAGGTTTCCTCTCTCTACAGAAATGGTAACATACTAAAGGTACTCTTCTGTACCTTCACAGTACAAGTACCCAATACCCCACCTAGGACTTGGCCAAGACCCCAGCCAGGTAAGGGCAGGGCAGGCACTTGGCCTCCAAGCTCTGTGTCCAGTGCTCGCTCCCCACCGCACCCCCCAACTCACCCACAGCAGCTGACTCAGCCCCAGGCTGCCTCTAACAACCAGACACAAAAGCAGCGAGACATGGCCATGCCGCCTTCTGGGCAGGACACTCCATCCTGCAGAAGGGACCCTTAGGCTCACTCCTCCATCTGCGAAGCCGGGCTCCCAGGAGATGGGGCAGGTGGTCAGACTCACCTTGTCCGCCTTCTTCTTCTGTGTGGCGGTGACAGCAGACAGAGCCCGCTCTAACTCTCCCGTACGCTGCGATGAACGTTGCAGGCGGGCAGCCAGATCTTTCGACTCTTCTGTAATGAGAGAGTTGAGATGGGGCCCAAAGGACTCCCACGAAAGACCTATCCAAGTGCCAGGTTGAAGGATGATAGGGTGCCCAGATTCCCACCTTCAAAGATTATGAGAGAGCGTTTCGTGTGATACAGGTCTATAGTTAGTTTCTTTTTCTGTACGTTCAATCTCTGGATTTGAACCTTTAGGAGAAAAGCCAAACAAGTGCTGAAAGAGAAGGAAAGAAACATTCCCCGGAGGACAGGAGAAAACTTCACACCCTCCACTCACCTCTAGCTCCCTTTCGGCTTTCTGTTTCTCATTGTTTGCCTTCTTTTCCTATAGGAAGAGGAAGACAGAGCTCTTACCAGGGGGAGGCAGAGATGGCACAGCAAGAGACATGCCCCCAGAATGCCACCAATGCCCCAGGACAGGCCCACTCATAGGACCAGGTTATCAGGGACCCTGTGGGGATGGGGTGGAATCTGAGGGGTGAGCCTTCTTCCCCAGGCTGGGAGTGGGTGAGACGAGACTGGGGCATCTACATCTGAGTGCCCCCCAAACCCAGCCGTCATGTCGTGAGCAAAGAAATCACGTTACTTCTTCCAGCTGATGTTCCACTTGTTTCTTCTGTTGTTCCTGTGGGGAGAGTCAAATTAAGGTGATGGAGGGTGGCCCCCTCAACTCTATTCCCCAGGCCAGGAAGCGGTAGGCAGGGGCCAGGAATGGATTTTAAAGGCAAAGTTCTCAGACCCAACGGGAACACAAACTGGTCAACTCTCCTCAAGCTCCCAGGACAGAGGATTTGGGTCTTTGTTGGTTTTCACCCACAGCCACAGAACTCAAAGTGTGAATCTGAAATCTCTTGAGAGGACAGGAACATAAACCTCTAGAGATGGAGTTGGAGAAAGGCCCCTTCCTGCCCGCTTGTGATTTAGAAAAGTGCGTTCATTCAATAAACATTGACTGAGCACGTATGGGCCAGGTACGACTCTTCACAGTATATATAGGACGGAAAAGGACAGACAGGAGCTCTTGGCCCTGAGGTTTCCATTCTAGGGGGCTTTTAAATCTCGGACTCTCAGAGCTAACAGACACTTTTGATACTCACTACCTCCTCTGGAAACACGAGCCCAAAAAGGAGAGGCAGCTTGTCCAGAATCAAAGAGCAAATTAGGGACTGAGTCACGGCAGAAATACGGGGCCCCTGACAACCAGTCAGGCTCGCACTTCCCCGAGAGGCAACGACCCCAGGGCGTGTGTAGCAAGGACTCCAGCAGGGGTGTGTGGAGAGGAGACAGTCGGCAAAGAGGGCAGCAAAAGAACAGCCATGGTGCGTGCTCTGGGGTCCCTCCAGGTGAGGCTTAGGCACCCCAGCTCCCCATTTGTCCTTTGCACCACGGTCCCCAGCCCCTTTCTTCAGAGCCCCAAGAGGAACCTGGAGCCCAGGATTGGCAGCCTGGAATCTGGGGACCCCACTGGACTCTTACCAAAGATTTGATGGTGTTATTCAGTCGACTGATTTTGATGGACCTCGAGTCAAGGACTACTGCTTGTTCTTGGCACAGGCTCTGAGGTGCATGCAGAGGGGAGGAGGTGGAGCAGGAGTGGGGGGAGAGGTAGAGAGAACAATCATTAGGGCTGGGGTGTGTGTGGGCTGTCTCAGCTGGCAGAGGGGCACCCAGTCCCTGCTGTGGGAGGAGGTTGGAGGGCTGGCCTGCCTGGTCACTGCACCTCCACCCAGAGCCTCCCACCTCCAGATCCTTCAGGGTAGCACATGATGTAGGGTCCGCCCCGTGGATACCTGTTGCTGACTACAAGAGAGTACACATGGAGATATTCTGTTCCCCTCAGTGTCTAAGCCCTCTGACTTCCTTTCATTCACATCAACTGGCAACATTTTCTTTTCTGCCTCTCTTGGACCCTTTGTCCCGTAACTCCTTTGTGCCAACTTCTCTCATGGCTCTTACTTCCTCACCATCCCACCCTGGGGCCTGAAATCAGTGACTCCTGATGGCAAGTGGCTGTTCTCATTGTCCTGGCTTCCCCTTGAGACTGGGGATGAGCAATGACCATATCCTGGGTGCCCTGAGTGTTTACAGCAGGCCATGTACTAGGGATTAACATAAAAACAACAATAAGAAATCTCATTTAAACCTCACAAATGGAAGTCAAACAATAGAACCTCTATTATACAGATGTGTAAAAAGAGGCCCGAAAATCTCAAGCAACTTGCCCTAAATCATATCCCTAGCAGACGGAAAGGCAGGATTCAAACCCAGAATTCGTTTTTTTATTTCCTTTTTGTGAGACAGAGTCTCGCCTTGCCTCCCAGGCTGGAGTGAAGTGGCGAGATCTTGGCTCACTGCAAGCTCCGCCTCCTAGGTTCATGCCATTCTCCTGCCTCAGCCTCCCGAGCAGCTGGGAATACAGGCACCTACCATCATGCCGGCTAATTTTTTTTTGTATTTTTCAGTGAAGATGGGGTTTCACCATGTTAGGCAGGATGGTCTCAATTTCCTGACCTTGTGCTCTGCCCGGGTTGGTCTCCCAAAGTGCTGGGATTACAAACGTGAGTCACTGTGCCTGGCTAAACCCAGAATTCTTAACCAGTACACAACGGTCCATCCACAATCTTAACAATTACCCTCTACTGCCCCTTCGGTCCCCTGTCCCCAGGAGCCTGGCCACCAAGACTCACATCCCGAGCTGAGTGGCAACCAGCAGAAGTGGATGTCTCAGGGCTACTGCCATTTGTTTTCCTGTTCCTGTTTGCTTCTGCTGGAACAGCAGGGCTGTTTCTGTGCCAATATTCTTTTAACTGTGGGAAAGAAGAGCAGTAATCCTCATGAGACCTATCGGCCCCTACAGCCACATCCTCCCTTACAGTTTTTACAAAAGACTCTTATACACCATCTGATTTGACGACACCAACAGCTGTATAATAGGTGTTGTCAAAATCTTTTAGGGACTGAGAGGGATTGATATCATAGCTAGAAAAAAAGAAAAAAGAAAAAGAAAAAGGCAATACTGGAACTTTGAAACTCAGTCTTCTGACTCCAAGCTCTGGGGTCTTGCCAAGAATCAGCAGCTGCCAGGGACTAAAACCAGAGGCAGAGGTACAAAAGTAAACACTAAGTAGGCAGGAACCGTATGCCCTGCGGTTTAGAGTCATACATCCTCACACGTCTGTCAGTGTGAAGAAGTGCACCAGTACCTCTCAAACTTCCTTATCAATGTATCCTCACGGCAGAAGGCAGCCTTTCTGTTAAATCCCGGAATTTATCAGAAAGAGGACTACCCAAGTCTCATTTCAGAGAGAAGTCTGGTATTCTCTTAGAAACCTATGTGACTGTCATCCCTAAGTATATTCATGTTTTTTCTCTTGATCTCAAGAGAATCAAGGGAAACTGATGCTTCAGAAAGATGTCTCACATTTATCCTGTGGCACTCAAAGTACCCCAGGTCGAGATAATATGAGGAAGAGTCAGGCTGTCAAGTCAGTCTCCCAAGATCTATTCCACAGAAGATGAGCAAATCTCACTTCAGAGACGACTGACTGAAGGGCAGTCTGGTCCCAGAACCATGGAGAATTAGAATATGAGGTGGAGAACTCAGAAAAAAACGTTAAAATCTCTCTGGAAAGTAGAAGCCTGGGAGAAAACCAAACCAAACCCATTCTCCCATTGCCACATGGAGGTACGGTCAACGTTTTGTGCTCACGGGGGAAGTGTAGGCTTTCCCCCCTGTCAATGTCGATGTTAAGGGAGTGAGGCAGCCTGGAACCTCTTGCTCCTAGGTCCCACAGTCTCCATTCCCCTTCCAGCTGGAAATTTGCGCTGTGAGCAGAGGAACCAGAAATGGGGTGAGAACACTTAGGGGACTGGGTCATAAGATCAAAGGCCGGTCTTCCAGTAATGACAGTTCCTAGGCAGACTGTGACATCACTACATTCCACTCCTCCTGATTGGGGAGAGGGACCACATCAGCGCAATGTCCGAGTTACCACTCCACGATGGGGGAGGGAAACACAGGGTTGGGACCCAGGTCCTTGGAGACGCCAGCACAAAGAGCCCAGGGAGGTTGACCTTGAGGCAGCAGGAGAGGAGGGCAGAGTCTGCAGCAGGGAACTCCAGGAGTCACCAGCCCAAAGTCACCCAGGGATGACTGGCGAGGGTGGGGCCTGGGGCTGGGGAACCCAGGTTCTTGGAGACAAGAGCGCAAAGAGCCCAGGGAGGTCGAGCTTGGGTCGGCAGGAGGTGAGGGCCTAGTAATGGAGAGGGGAGCCCCAGGAGTCACCTGCCCACAGTCACCCTGGAGTGATTGGCAAGGGCAGGGACTGGGCTGATGCTGAAAGGGCAGAGTCACCCTGGAGTGATTGGCGAGAGCAGGGACTGGGCTGATGCTGAAGGGGCAGGGCTGGCTGACAAGACTTTTGCAGGGGGAGCCCAGAGGCACGTGCATTGGAGGGCCCTGTCCAGTGTGCCTCAGCAGTGATATGGGCTGTGGTAGCAGTCTTGTCGTCGGAGGGGATCTGTAGCTGGGTTGGGGGCCATGACCTGGTGCGTTTTTACCTTTTTCTTGGCTGCGGCCAATCTGTTCTGTGGAGTTTCTTCTGCCATCGCAGAGTGGGAAAGGGAGGTGGGGTTGGGGCCACAACAGCAAAATCCCAGCGAGCACTGATCAAGACCTCCAGTCACCTACCAGGCAGCTGTGTGACTGAGCCACAGGAGTGGTAACCAGGGCACCAGTAGAATGTAGAATAGGGGCGTGGCCTTGATGCTCCAAGCCTATTGGTCACGGAGAAAGATGAAAGGGAAAGGGGCGTGGCCAGGCAGCAGTGTGTCCAGAGGGACCCCTGGCTCATAAGGAAAGCTACTCATGCAACCGCTGTTCCCGCCCACTGTGAAAGAGGGGAGGGGCTGCCCACTCTGGGAGAGGGAAGGGGCCAGCTTTTGCTTTAAAAGCTTTAAAACTTTAAAAAATATGTGTGTGCATACTTTATATATAGATGTGTGTCTGTGTGTGTGTATCTACGTGTTTATCTAGAGCTGTCTTCATTACCTAGTTTCTATGCAAGGTCTATGATTTTGGCCTATACTTTTATCTTCAAATACAGTACAAAAATTATCAGTATTACCTGAACTGAGATACAGATCTTATAAAAATGGAAAATCCATAGCATGCTTGATGATTAATGAAGCAGACTATATTATACAACATTCCAATAAGATAAAATAATCACAATGATTTTTCTTTTTTGGAAAAACGTTTCCCTTATTCTCCTATGTTATTGTTAAGATTTTTTTTTTTCCTCAAACAAGAAGCATGTTTAATATCTAGAAAAAGACAGAGGTTTTGGGCCAGGTGTAGAAGCTCAAACCTGTAATCCCAGCACCTTGGGAACCTGAGACGGGTGGATCATCTGAGGTCAGGAGTTCGAGACCAGCCTGGCCAACATGGTGAAACCCCATCTCTGCTAAAAATACAAAAACTAGCCAGGTGTGGTGGTGGGTGCCGGTAATTCCAGCTATTTGGGAGGCTGAGGCAGGAGAATCACTTGGACTCAGGAGACGGAGGTTGCAGTGAGCCAAGCTCACACCACTGCACTCCAGTCAGGGCGACAGAGCAAGACTCCATCTCAAAAGAAATACAATACAATACAAAATAGATTTAAAAAGCTTTCAATTTAATAAGCACTCAAAGCTCTTTACCAGTTTAAAACAAATACAAGGCCCATTTTTCTAGAATCACCTGGCCTCTCTAAGGCTTGCAAACAAAACTGAATTTCTCACTTGATACTTGGCTATCACTTGCAATCACGAAAACCAAGAATTGTGTTATGTCACTGTGTACTAATTGGTACCTGGAGTTCACACAAGGCTGGGATCAAGGGTTGAATCTTTCACGATTTGCTCCATAACCTGTGTGCTTCTTATCCCAGACCAAACTAAGCTTTTGTGTAGAGTTCTACAATTTGCAGTTAGTAGACAAGAGTGGTTCTCAGTAATGCAGTCTCTGGACTAGCAGCACCAGCAGCACCTGAGAACTTTTCATAAGTGCAAATTCTCAGGTCCTACCTTGGACCTGGTGAATCAGACACTCAGGAGCGGGGCTCAGCAATCTGTGCTGCAGTCATCCCTCCAGGTGTTCGGGAACCTCTGCCGTACAGCAGGTAGAAAAATGTGTTTTCTTCTGTAGGTCAAAAGCCAGGGATACTCTATGTTGTGTCTCGATATGCAACAACGGCATGCAATTAAAACACATAACTCTCCTTTCTACTCCCACCCTCCATCCAATGTGTTTTATTTTCATGAGTTCCAAAAGAAAACAAGTGGCAATCAGAAGTTCAGTCAAAAAAGTATACGTACAAGTATTAGTTCTCATCCAGCCTTATCTCATAGAAAACCATTTATATCGTCTGACAGCTAAAGTTTTAAAAAAGTATCTTCACAATCTAAGTCTCAGGCACACTAGGAGTTCTATCATAAAACACCAAGTAGATGAGAATGTCCAAACCTACTAGAGAAGAAAAGTGGAATCATTGGCTATACTTCCAAATTGCATTCAAAGGAAATTTAAGTTCTGAATTGTTTTCACCTTCATACTTCCAAGTGAATAGAATTCAAACAGAACACTCCATTCCTTCAAAGCCTCTAGCCAGGCAAAGTTTTACTGTATTACGTCTTGCTTTCAATGGATATAAAGCAGAGTCCTGGTAGGCACATTATGTATACCTGCAAAGATGCAGAACTAAACAGTTCCATCCGTTCCATATTAAAACAAAAGTCCTGTAAACCTTGGATGGTGAGTGTAATACTTCAGCACTAGCACCAAAACCTCAAATATGAGAAGATACCAAGAACAGCAGTAGCAAACAAAACTAAACTCTCTGCCAGGAGCAGTAGTTCACACCTGTAATCCCAGCACTCTGACAAGCCAAGGTGGGAGGATTACTTGAAGTCATGAGTTCAAGACAAGCCTGGGAAGCATAGGGAATTCTCATCTCTACAAAAAAATTTTTAAAAACAGCTGGGCGTTGTGGCACAGACCTGTCATGCTAGCTACTTGGCAGGCTGAGGTGGGAAAATTGCTTCTTCCCGGGAGTTCGAGGCTGCAGTAGCTATGATTATGGCACTGCACTCCAGCCTGGGTGACACAGCGAGACCTAGATAATTACATTCTCTCCTGCTCCTGTTTACACCAAAATCACTAAGTTAAAACACTTTCAAATTTGGCAGGATAAAAATTAAGTGAAATGTGACTTTGGAGTTTGGAGGAAGAAGGAAGGAAAGGAGGGAGTAAGGGAGAGAGGGAAGGAAGGGAAGGAGGGAGGGAGAGAGGAAGGAAGGAAGAAAGGGGAAACAGAAAAGGAAAAGAAAGGAAAGGAAAGGAAGAAGGAAGGAAGGAAGGAAAAGGAAAGAAAGGAAGAAAACAAAAAAGGAAGGAAAGAAGGAAACGAAAGATATAAGAAAAGACGAAAAGGAAAAGAAAGGAAAGGAAAAAAAGGAAAGGAAAGGGAAGGGAAGGAAGAAAGAAAAGAAAAATAGAAAGAAATAACAAATTACTTACTAGGAGAAAGTTTTAGTAACCTCAATGACAAATAAAAGGATTGTATCTTTAGCCTGTAGAGAAATCTTTATAATTACTCAGGAAAAAAACACAAAAAATCAAAAAACAACAACAACAAAAACCCCCCAAAAAAATGATTTTCAACAGAAAATGGGCAATGGAGAAACAGTCACTTCTCACAAAAATAAAAATGGCCAATAGGTATATAACAAAGGTTCAAAAGCATTAGAAATCAAGGAAATGTCATGAAAACAATGACATTTTCTGTATAAAGGTGCAAAGATGACAAATAGAATGGGGAACCTGGAGCTCTGTTCCTGTTGGTGGGAGTATAAACTGAGACACTTTTCCTGGAGGATAATTTGAAAATTTCTATTAAAGACCCTCAAAATTATTACCCTCCGGAAATTCTACTTCTATGAATTCAGTCCAAAAATGCTTGCTCGACTCCATTAAAATGTATATATAAGAAAATTCACCTCTGCGGCGGCAATGATAAACTTAATATACATCCACCTATTAAAAATGATGATGCTAGGATATATTTCCTGTGACAGAAGTATGCCCAAAATATAGTAAGTGGCAAAAGACTATCTAATATGATTCTACTTTTGAAAATATTTACATGTATAAAAAGTATAAAAAACAACACACCAGAATGTTTTGAGTGGCAAATTAAAGATTTTTCTTAACATTTGTCATCCAAATCCTTACAAAAAGAATGTGATTTCCTTTATAATCAGGGAGAAGTGTTATTTTCATTTATTTATCTTTAAATCTCTTTTCTTTTTCTTATTTTTCCTCCTGTATGTATGTATCCCAAGTAGGCTAGAACTCCTGCCTCTTGAGGGAATCCAGCCCATTTGTGGGAAGTGCACTACATACAGCTGCTCATCTTTCTTTTATTTTAAGAGATCTGGAGACATTTTTATTTCAAACTGTTTTATTGTTCTCAGAATATATGTTAATATATGAAATTGAGGAACAGACAAAGGAAAGGCTGACTCCCTACCCTCCTGGGGCTACTCTTCCAATTTTTGCTGCTATTGTTACATATTAGGATTCACTGGGTACTAAAAAGATGGGCAGCCCCTTAGATCCTTTTTCCTTATCTCTTTCTCATAATCCTACTTCATTCCTTCATTCACTTATTTTTAAAAGGGTCATGTGTATAAATATATAGTTCAGAAAATTTCTAAATGTAACTATCTATAAAAGTATGCGGCAAAATCTCATTCACAGTCTTACTCTCCTTCCACAGCCAAACACTTTTAATTGGTTTCTTATATATCATTTCAGAATTTATCTTTGCAAATACACATGTATATTCTTAATCTACTCTTCTCTCTCAACACAAAAAGTAGCATACCACACCTACGATACCATTCCTTCTTCCTTTTAAAACACACACACCATCGATCCGAGTTCTTCTACGTGAGTGCAGAGTCTTTCTCGTTCTTCTCTTCAGCTGCACAGTATGCATCATTTGGATGCACCACAGTTTACTTAACCAGTTCCTGTTGGTGGACACTGAAATCATCCCTATCATACTATTACAAACAATAGTGTCAAGCACAACCACCTGCACACACCAAGTTCATTTCTGAATCTGCCTTTGATGAAGCCTCTGCTTGAATCACCACAAGGTCACAAGGCTGAAAAGTTAGCCCCTTTTTTAGTATTCATTAAGTACAGCAGTATGTAGCAAAAGACTCTCTCGGGCAAAGCAAACGTACTCTTTGGGGACGTACTTTGTAACAATAAATGGACAAACAGAACACCAAGGAGAACCCGTTCTATTTAACCATGCACATGTATGCATACAATACATGAATATGCACAGAAAGTTTAAATAAATCCATCAAAGCATTAAGCACTGTCTCAGTACGGTGGATCTAAGGAGTGCTTTGTAGACCGCCCTCCTTGTCTATCAATTCTTTCTAATTCCACAACAGTAAATATGTATACTTCTACAATACAAAATTTCAAAAAATGCAAACTCAAATTAAGCTGCATATATTCCTTCAGTCTCTCCCACATTTGTATGGCGTTCCAGAGTGCTCAAATATCACTTCATTAAAAATATTTAATTATTTTTCAAATATAGAGATGGCAGGGTCTTGCTCTGTTGACCAGGCTGGTCTTGAACTCCTAGATCCTCCTGGTTCCCCTCACTTCCATCTCCCAAAGTGCCGGTATCACAAGTGTGAGCCATCAGGCCCAGCCAGCTTCATTTCAGAAATCTTTCCCCAGCACTCCATATATTACGAGTAATGCCTTACTTCTTCTTTAGATAGCATTTTAGCCATATCTCTATTACCTCACTTGTCACATGATAATCAGTTGCTCACCCATCCATCTCCCTTCATTGCTCATGAGCTCCTTGAGATGAGTCTGATTTTCAGCACCTTGAACAGAGTGCGACACATACATGCTTCATACACAGAGAAGGAAATGACTTCATTACAGTGTAATTACTCCCAGAATTCAATACCTATATTTCTAAATTGTTCTAGATACTCTGCCAACAACCTGAGAATGTTATGTTTTTTCCCTAAAACTTATATCCATTACTGAGTGTCTACGGTCATAGCTAACTCAATTGTGATGTGACATCTTGCCAAGCCCATTCATAGTTTTTATTGGTGACTTTTAATTTTAAGTTTTGATTTTGATTGTTTCCTTTTTGTTGTCTTAATCTACAGTGTTTGGTAAACTTCAACATCTCTATATCCCTGTGTCTTTGCACCTGCTGGTCTCTGCTTGGAATAATGTCTCAAGGTTTTAGTCACCTGGAAAAAATTTCTACTCACCCTTAAAGAATCAGCTCAAATAGGCTGGGAACGGTGGCTCATGCCTGTAATCCCAGCACTTTGGGAGGCCACGGCAGGCAGATCCCCTGAGGTCAGTAGTTCAACACCAGCCTGCAGTCTTGAACTACTTCAACATGGTGAAACACCGTCTCTACTACAAATACAAAAAATAGCTTGGCTTAATGGTGGAGGCCAGTAATCTCAGCTACTCGGGAGGCTGAGGCAGGATAATTGCTTGAACCTGGGAGGTGCAGGTTGCAATGAGCTAAGATCATGCCACTGCACTCCATCTTGTGTGACAGAGTGACACTTCATCTGAAAAAAAAAAGAAAGAAAGAAATAGAGAAAAAAGCTTAAATAATACCTTCTCTGAGGAGCTTTTATGTCTTCCTATTCTTTCAGGAAGAGTTGAAAATTCCTCAACTTTTTAAACATTTGTGCCTCTTTAGTATGTATCAGGCACTGAACTGAGTGCCTAGGATAGAAAGATGAAACTGTAGACCCTGCCATGATGGAGCTCACGGTCTAGTATGGAAAATAGCTATATGAACAAATAATCACACTATAGTTCTTCAGAGCTCAAATCCTAAATACTGGTAAATTAATGTTCTGTGAGGTTTTGAAAGTACTAGGGCCAGTGACAATATGGCTGCTTGGATGGCTTTCCATCCAAGTTAACATTCAGCCCTCATCACCAAAGGTCATACGTGCGTGCCTCTTCCTCGCAACCCTCCAGGGCCTAACACATCATATCACCACCTTTGAAATTAGGAAACAGGCTCAGAAGTCCAAGAGCTTGACCAAAGTAACTCAGCTGGTAGGTAGCAGAACCAGGTCGGTATGATTCTTCTTCAATGTCCTGCCAGTTACATGGGCAAGTGGCCTCAAAATCAACAGAAGACAAGTAGAGGTTGACATGTGTCAACGAACAGAGGCTCAAAAGGAAGAGTTTATACACAAGAACAGAACAGAAATCTTCCAGAACTATGTCTGGGGGTGTGAAGTAGGAGGGCACACACCAGGTTTCACCGTGGTCAAGTGAATCTATAGTTCCAACCTGGGCCTCACCCGCTGAGCTCCAGACTTAGCTATCTGTCTTTCTTACTCTTACATAAATTCCACAGGGCAGGACCTTAATCTCTAGTTTGTTCATCACAGATTAAAGCAGAGCCTGGCTTATAGTAAGTACATAATAAATACATGAATGAATAAATAAACTATCAAAGAAGCTAAAGAAACATTGCACACTACTGGGGGGAGGGATTACCATGAAACAGACCCTAGCAGTCACTCACAAATATAGTTGACCCTCATTATTTGTAAATCCCATATTTGCAAAATTGCATACTTGCTAAAATGTCTTTGTAATCCCCAAATTAAAACTCGTGGAGCTTTCGAGGTGACTCCTGGATAGACACACAGTAGTGAAAATTCTGTCACTCCTTGCACATGTCCCCAACTAAGGTCAAACAATGTGACCCTCTGTCTTTCTGTTTCAACTCTCCTACAAAGAGGACCTGAGGACTGAGACAGTAGAGGACAGTGCAGGGTAGTGTAAGATGCTGTGGCTCTGGGGCCAATTGGTCGGGCTCTGAATCATAACTCTGGCACCTGTTAGCGGAATGGCTTCAGGTAAGTCACTTAACACTTCTGAACTTCCTTTATTGTTTTAGAAATAAAGAAAATTCAATCTACTAGGATGAGTTGTTTTTAGGAATTAAGATTATAACCTAAGTGAGATATGTATATATGCATATATTTACACTGGAAACAAAGGTTTGGTATTTGATTAATTCAGTGTTCCGACCAACTTTATATAATAGAACATTTCTACTGCAAATAATAAGAATTGATTGTAATAATTTATAAAGAAATAACAGAGATGTAGACAAATCAAGTATTTGGATGAGCTAGAGGCAGGCGTCAAGAAGCTTCCAAAGAAATAGAACTTTGCCAGGCACTGAAGGTGTGGAAAAGGGTTCCAAGGAGAGAGAACGGCGCCTACAGAGAGAGGTCCAGCTAGGGTCAGGAAATGGCCTTTCAGGAAGTCTAGAGCAGTAGAAGATGAGTCCAGAATATGGTGCCACAGCACTTCTCTACACCCTGTATACACCCTGTACTGCAAAACCTCACTCTCTGCATTGAATTCTTGGTTTCTACTTCTCTGTTCCATTAAACTGTGAGCCCCTCAAGGTGAAGTTCTCTAAGAAGAATCCATAGCTACAGTCCTCTAACTTTGAAAACAAGTTATTAAACACAGATACACCCAAAAAGACTGTATAAAAATAACTCATAGGTTGGGTGTGATTGAATCACATCATGCTGTATAGCTAAGCATGTCCTATATTTTATGATAAACTAGGGTAACAAATTATTTATTGAGGACCTGTTGTGTACAGAGAGGCACGCTGGAAGCTGTAAAAGACTTGATTCTTGCTCTCAAGAAGCTTCCAAGGTTGTAGACAGCCTGACAGAAGGTAGTTGAAAGTAAATACTTCAAGCACTATCCATCACAATTACCTTAGGTATTTACTCTACCGTTCTACAAGTCTCTGAATATTTCGAAGCTCCCTTTCCTATCTCCGATGGACTCTATGGCTCAACATTCTTTACAGCCACAGGCGTTCCTGTACTTCACATTATTATTGAATCAACATTTCTTACCATCTGCCTCCTTCGCCAATTAAAATTCCGCTTTACTTCCAACCACCACTTTGGCTTTGAAGCCACTGCCTGATACTGACACTTCATAGATGTAGTATGAATATTCTTATATGTCTCTGTCTACTGATGAGGATCCTACTCTTTTAGTAGAAACAGTACCACTGACTTCCAGTCAACTAGTTTCCATAATATCTGAAATATTGGATAATATTTCAATAATACTCCCAAAACAAATAATGAGTGATGTACTCTCAAATATATGTATAACCAAATGTGAAATTGAGAAGATGTGGAGGACCTTAGACTCAGAGATTGTATTCAGGCCTTTGTAGTGGCATTTATTTGACATAATTATGCATTTAAAAACTAAGTTAAATTGTCATCAGATCAGTCTGAAATTTATAGAACCTTTTGTTGGTGAGAAACGTATTTTATATGTAATCATTTACCCGGAGAAATGTTTTTGATTAATGTTATCTGTTAAAGACTTCAGTTCACAATGTTTCCCCTGTTAGTAATAGATATCATTTTGGAGCTGATCTGGAGAAGTCGAAGACCGCGTGCTGATTGCTATCTGATGTTCCTCTGGGAGGACAATTGATTGGCTTTGGGTTGCCGGGGTTTGGAACTTAAAGGCAAGTCTGAGTCTAGAGATCTTGCCACTGACTTTTGGCAAGTCTGTTGATTCTACCTTTGGAAGTGCCTTTAAATGTCTTATGGAAGGCCAGGCATGGTGGCTCACGCCTGTAATCCCAGCACGTTGCGATTATTGATTCACAAATCAATTTGGGAAATGCTTGGTAAATTCAACGGGACCTCTCAGAACAATGAATTTATATGGCCATGATTTTTTTTTTCCCCCGAAGATCATTCAGAAGACTTCCTAGTACACCAGTTTGGGAACTGTTGGTGGAGGAATCAGGGTAATTAGAATTTGGACTATTCCAGGTAGAGGGTGTCACTATATTCAAGGAATTGTTCTTAGTCTTTAGTCTTTCTATATATCAGAATTACCTACAGGAAATGAACAAGCAGAAATAGAGAATTGGGCCTTTGCTCAGGCCTAACAAATGAGAACATCTGAGAACTGTGGGTGTGGAAAAGCTTGTAGGTAATTCCACGTATTCCAGAGAGTGAAAACCACTCAATTACAATAGGCCTCCTGGCACCTTGCTAACTGAATTGTTAATCCTAGTTGAGTATGCTTCTGTTTTGTTTTCTTGGGCCTGGTCCAGGGACTAGACTGTTGCTGTAATTAAGTTCAATTTTATCATTCTTCCTACGGTATCAGTATCCCGAGTTCAGATTCCATTTCATCAGTGGGGCAAATGTATAGGTCAGTATAGGACAAGTGTTAAACATTAATGGAAGAGACTGTATTATATTGATATTGTCCTTCCAATCTGACAGCCTTAAATTTCATTTAGAAAATGCCTCTCTTTGCTAAGAATGATGGTTTCCAGCTGCATCCATGTCCCTATCACAAGAACAGAAAACCAAACACCGCATGTTCTCACTCATAGGTGGGAACTGAACAATGAGATCACTTGGACTCGGGAAGGGGAACATCACACACCGGGGCCTATCATGGGGAGGGGGGAGGGGGGAGGGATTGCATTGGGAGTTATACCTGATGTAAGTGACGAGTTGATGGGTGCTGACGAGTTGATGGGTGCAGCACAGCAACATGGCACAAGTATACATATGTAACAAACCTGCACGTTATGCACATGTACCCTAGAACTTAAAGTATAATAATAAAAAAATAAAAAAGAAAAAAAAAAAGAAAAAAAGAAAATGCCTCTCTTTATTTTTTGTTATTTTGAGACTGAGTCTCGCTCTGTCGCCCAGGCTGGAGTGCAGTGGTCGGATCTCAGCTCACCTCAAGCTCCGCTTCCTGGGTTTATGCCATTCTCCTGCCTCAGCCTCCCGAGTAGCTGGGACTACAGATGCCTGCCACGCCGCCCGGTTAGTTTTGTTTTTTTTTTTTTTTGTATTTTTTAGTAGAGACGGGGTTTCGCTGTGTTAGCCAGGATGGTCTCGGTCTCCTGACCTCGTGGTCTGCCCGTCTCAGCCTCCCAACGTGCTGGGATTACAGGCTTGAGTCACTATGCCCGGCTGAAAATGCCTCTATTTCTAATTTTACCTTGGTTTTGATTTCTTTTACTATAGGGATCACATAAATGATTTTCCTCTTTTCTAGACTTGCTTGTCAACTCCTACATTTTTGAAAGCTTCTGGTTAACTTCTAGTTACAGGTAAGTTCCGTTTTCTGTTTGGTTAACAGGCTGAGATTTTTTTTTCTTTTTTTCCTTTTTTGAGACAAAGTCTCACTCTGTTGCCCAGGCTGGACTGCAATGTTGTGATCTCGGCTCACTGCAACCTTCGCCTCCCAGGTTCAAGTGATTCTCATGCCTCGGCCTCCCCAGCAGCTGGGATTACAGGCGTCTCCCA